ACACCACGCCCGACACGCTCGTCAAGGACGCTGGCGTGCACGTGCAGAAGCTGATGTCCCAGATGGACAACATTTCCTTCGCCGCCATGGCCATCGTGCCCAAGCAGTAACCGGTCAACTGAAGACATCGAACGCTTTCGCTTTCCCCCATTCCCTGTCACTTCATTGCCTCTCCCGGTTCATTGTGATGTTGCGCTTTTTTGATCTCCACTACTCTGTGTGTCTTGGTAAAGCTTTAGCTGACTGGCAAATTGGCAGGGGAATTTGGTGTAATGCGTAGTGGGCTTCGAAATATCGAATCAGTTTATTTTAGTGGAAAATACGGAATATACAGAGTGAAAGGCACAAAGTTGCTGCTCGGGCGATCGTCTAGCCCTCCTTCGAACCTCTGACGGCTGCCCCAGCCGGGTTGACCGCATTCCGCGACGATACCTACAACGGGGATACGGTAGTTTTTAGAACGTGAAATTATCGATCGGACCTCAAATTTTCGAGATTTTCATCGGAAATTTTTAATTTTTGGTGGAAGAGCTATGTTTTTGCATTTGGGTTTAGACCTCGGCAAAATTGGTGATTTTTATCATTGTGTAAGCGGGAACCTATCTAAAAAGTAAATTTAGGTTAAAAATGGCGCAAAAAACGTCGAAAATGCTTGTGCTTAGGATCCATTTTTCATTATAAAAAGCCGGAGCGTTTTTTACTAGTCCTAAAAGTAAAAACTTAACAAATTTTTACAAAACTACGGAACATCGAACAAAAACCAGTTTTTGCCAAAATTTGGACGTTTTGAAAACCTCTCTAAAATTTTACATGGCTTTTCTAATGGAAATAGGGTTTTATTTGATTAAAAACAATATTAAAACAAGTCCTATTAAGTTCCTAGGCATTTCTAGTCTTATACAAGTTTTTTTTGTACCTTTGGCCCCTTCATCGTGTACGTGGTCTTCTTCAGCCACTCCGAGTTCTTCATCTGGTGGCAGGTGGGCCGTGAGTGGGGGTGCGGGTGCAGAATCTCGAAGATGAGCGTGCATGCCTCCAGCGACAGCACCGGCTGCTTGGGGAACCTGCAGCTCAGCGCCGTGGTCATCTACCAGCTGCCCCAGCCCACCGAATTCGGTGCTGCAGCTGCTGGTTGACCATGGCGGGCACCTTCTTGTCGTTGAACGGCATCATCCCGGTCAGCATCACGAACAGGACGACCCCCGCGCTCCAGATGTCCACCTAGAAGACGTTGTTGGCTAGCGCAGTGCGGCCTACCGTGTGCCCCGTGTACTCGACGGAGCGCAAAATCTCGGGCGCCACGTACGCACGGGAGCCGCAGTATGTGCTCGACTTCTCGCCGACGCGCAGGTAGCGCGCGAAGCCAAAGTCGCCCAGCTTGACGTTGCCGTGCTTGTCGAGGAAGATGTTCTCGCATTTGATGTCCCGGTGCACGATCTCGCGCTCGATCAGGTACTGGAAGAGTTGAGACTTGGAGGCAAGCTAGCAGCGATTTTTGAGGAAGAGGAGAGGGCACGCTAGCAGAGATAGTTGAGGAACGGCTGACCGAAAGCGCCTCGACGAGCTGGCGGAAGATGAGCTTCGCGTCGGCCTCCGGGATGAACTTCTGGCCGTTGATCTTGTCGAGCAGGTCGCCGCCCTCGCACAGCTCGGTGACAAAGCAGACGTAGTGCTTGAACTCCATGATCTAGATGGGGTATGAGCAAGTGATCACTGTAGCGCGTGCGGTACCTCGAAGACGCGGCATATGTTGGCGTGGTTGCACGTCTTGACGATCTCGATCTCGCGTGGGAGGAAGCGCTTCACGTAGTCGCCGGACTGGCTGGAAACCGGCAAATTGTCGCTGCTAGCCTGCCCTGGGGGTTGTGGAGGGGCCGAAATTCCTCAAATTGTCTCGGCTAGCTAGCCCACCGTCGGTCAATGTTCTTGATGGCCAGCTGCGGGTGCTCCTTCTCGTACTTCTTCACCTTGGCCAACACGACCGTCGAGTAGGAGCCGGAGCCTGGGATTTAATGAGCCTGACTTTAAGCCTAAGCCTAAACCCAAGCCAAGCCTAAACCGAAGCCTAAGCCTGAGCCAAGCCCAAGCCCAAGCCTAAGCCATAAACCCACCCAAAATCTTGACCATCTCGATGTCGTTGTCCTTGTAAAATTGGAGCAGCCTCGGGCTCACCTCCGTCGGTTCTTTTGCCATTACTGTATCAGAAAACATGAATTTGCATACCGCATAAAATCACATACCTTTGATTTACGACTATAACTTGAATAACGAGTAGTAAGAATTGATGCGAATGCCCGGGAGTGCCGCTTTTTTACTCGCCATCCCATGCTGCCGCCGGATATGCAAATTGCGATGGTCTGCACAGATTTTATGCAAATTGAAATGGCATTGAAAATTTCAGAAATTTGTGGTTGGCTTTTGGTCCTCTTGACATTAAAAACGTTCTTGGAACCGTAAAATACGAAAATAATGTGGTTAAGTGAAAAAAGAGGTAGAATGAAGAAATTTTGAGATGTATTAGTCTTCATTTAAGCTCGCAAGACGATAATTTTTTTGTGATTTTAAATGGACGGGTTGCGTGCCATTTTTATGAATTTTATTTTAATTTGTAATTTTTGTAGGCTTGGCTTAGGCTTGGATTAGGCTTATGCTTAGGCTTAGGCTTGGCTTAGGCTTGGCTTAGGATTAGCTTAGAATTAGGCTTAAGCTTGGCTTAGTCCTTAATATTCCTTGTTTACGTCTTCTAAAACCTCAGTCCTTTTCTGTCCCTCTTCACAAGACCTGTTGGGTGGGCGGGGGGAGTGGGCGTACTCGGGTGAAGCTCGGCCCCCCGGCGGCCATCCCCCCGCGGGCCCTAATAAACCAATCGATGGGGCGCCCCAGGGCCCGAAAAGGGGGCAGAGCCCCCGGTGGCCTGAAATTAAAATCCGGCTCATTGCAGCCGCGGGCGTTGCCCGGGTTTTGCGCCGTTTCTGGGCGGATTTTCTTGATTGATTTTCCGAAAATTCACGGTTTTTTTCTCGTGACGATTGAATCTATCGGAACCCAGATGTCTGCTTGCTTTTTTGAAACATATTTTGTATCGAAGCATAGGCCTAAGTCTAAGCCTAAGCCTAAGCCTAAGCCTAAGCATTAACCTAAGCCAAAGCCTCGGCAGCTTAACGCTAATAGAAATTTAAATAAGATTTTTATATTTCCATGTTTTTCTGAAGCCCTTTTGAACATTTTCGCGCTTTCTTGTGCCAGAAAGTCCAAAAAATATCTTAAAACATGCCTGTTGCGTTTTTTAAGATATTTACATCTATTTTATTTGCTTGTTGTTTTTTGCAGTTGTTTTTTGCATAAATAATACTGTAGCTTAACCCCGAAACCCCTAAAAATCCCCCAAAAAACCTAAAATCCCGATTTGGGCTGTTTGTTTCGGGGCGCTAAAAGCTGGCCGGGCTGCTCGAAGGGGGGTGGGTGACTCTGTAAATATAGGCCAATGGAAACCAGTACTAGCCGGCGCGCAGTCAGCCCCGAAAAAGGAGGGGGAGGTGAGCGGAGCTCCACCTCCTCCTTCCGCTACTCGGGCGCGACTCTCGAGAATAGGCGTTATGGGACGCGCCAAATTACGGCCCGGAGTTCCTATTTCCCAATTTTTTATTCTACCGTATTTTTAAAGAAATTCCACGTTGGTGTAGCGGCTAGTGCGCTTGCCCCTCAAGCGGAGCGTCCAGGGTTCAGCTCCCGACGGGGTCTGAAATTTCTGCTTTTTGGTTCGATGCGTTTCCTGTGCAAAATTATGAAGATGCTTTACAAAGTAAAGCCAAGCCAACGTCAAGCCTAAGCCAAGCGAAGCCTAAGCCTGAGCCTATGCCTATGCCTAAGCCTAAGCCTAAACCCAAGCTAAGCCTAAGCTAAGCCTAATCTAAGTCTAATCCTAAGCCTAAGCCTAAGCCTACGCCTAAGCCTAAGCCTAAGCCTAAGCCTAAGCCTAAGCCTAAGCCTAAGCCTAAGCCTAAGCCTAAGCCTAAGCCAAGCCTAAGCCTAAGCCTAAGGCTAAGCCTAAGCCTAAGCCTAAGCCTAAGCCTAAGCCTAGGCTAGCCGTAACCCTGGATGCGACTCCGATTCAATTCTCGATTGAATTCCCGATTTCTGAGCGCGGGGCCAGGCGCGAGCGAGAGCGCCGGGAGCTAAATTACGCCCCTCCATAGCCCTAGAAAGTAGGCCTGTGTACCGTCTATAGGCCTCCAGCGGAATAGCCCTTCTCGCCCCCCGCCTGCCCCATTCAGGGTTCTGGAAATTGGCCCGAGAATCCGCTTTCTAACCAGCCCAGTCCAATTTACGCCCTGCAATTTCTTATGAGGGGGCTGGGTACGGTAGCCTAGTAGTCTGAGAGGGGTCAACTTTTAATTTCTGTGTTTCGGCCTTTCCCTGCCGGTCCCTTTAAACTGGAGCAAACCCATAAAGAGCTCGTGGGTATAGAGTAGCGGAGAGGAAAACAAAGGAGCCGGTTGTCCGGATGCGGGCTTTTCCTTGGATGGCCTGGAAACTGGTTGATCCCCTGTATCAGTCGAGGCTTTGTAAATGGATATGGGGGAATTTCCTAAGTGTTCTCTGCTAGCCTGCCCTCTCCTCTTCCTCAACAATCTCTGCTAGCCTGCCCTCTCCTCTTCCTCAACACTCTCTGCTAGCCTGCCCTCTCCTTTTCCTCAACAATCTCTGCTAGCCTGCCCTCTCCTCTTCCTCAACAATCTCTGCTAGCCTGCCCTCTCCTCTTCCTCAACAATCTCTGCCAGCCTGCCCTCTCCTCTTCCTCAACAATCTCTGCCAGCCTGCCCTCTCCTCTTCCTCAACAATCTCTGCCAGCCTGCCCTCTCCTCTTCCTCAACAATCTCTGCCAGCCTGCCCTCTCCTCTTCCTCAACAATCTCTGCCAGCCTGCCCTCTCCTCTTCCTCAACAATCTCTGCTAGCTTGGCTGATTGCTTGAAAGAGTCTCTGTTAGAAATCACCTAGAGTGGCTTCAAAGCCTAAGCCTAAGCCTACGCTAAGCGACAGCCAATCCTAAGCCACCCGCAGCTTTAATTTGGTACCAAAAAATGGGAATCTGCCTTGCAGCCCTCGGCTCCGACCGGCCGATTTCAATCTGCCATCGTCCAAATGTGTATTTAGGGGTAGAGGATGGCGAGTGAAAGCCGATTCCGCAGTTTTCCCGTTCCCCGCCCCCTGGGCTGCTGCCATGCACACTGTGACCGGGTAGCCGGCGCTGATTTCTAATTTGGATTCTGGGATGCTGACGTAGCGGGGCAGGCTAGCAGAGATAATTTGAGAAATTGTACCCCTAGGGCAGACTACCAGAGACCATTTGATTCAAAATTTTGGTTACTGAAACCCTAAAAAGGCATTGACTCTGGCGGCGTGTGTGTGTGTTTGTGCCAGAACCAGACCACGCCGCTGCGTTTCGTCCCAAAACCAGAATCCCATTTCCCCACTACACGAAGAGTCAGCCCCAAAGCACCCCCTGGGGCGGAGGCAGGGAGGAAAAACTATTGTAGAAATTGGATCCCCTCACCCAGGGGTGGGATTTGGATGTTGAGGGCAGGGTGGGTTAAATGGTCTCTGCTAGGCTGCCCATTTTGGTTAGCTCACTCTCTCTCTCTCTCTCGCTCTCGCTGTCTCTCGCCTTCTTTAGCTTTCTCTTGCTGTCTCTCACTTTCTCTACCTGTCTCTCGCTCGTCTCTCTCTCGGCTCTCACTCGCTTTCTCTAGCTTTCTCCGCCTTCTCTCGTTGTCTCTCATTGTCTCTCTATGTCTCTTGTTTTCTCTAGCTTTATCTCTCTCTCTCTCTCTTTCTCTCTCTCGCTCTCCCTATCGCTCCTCTCTAGATTTTAAAGATTTTGCCCGATTTGATCGATTTTTGTGACTTTTTTGAATTGTTTGTAGGTTTTTAGCTCTTGACAACCGATTGCGACATAAAATCTCCTATACTTCTTGCCGGTTTCTTTAAACCTCCCCCAAAGTGTCGAAATGAACGGCACTGCCCTTCAAGTTCAACACGTGGATTTTTGGCGCCCTTCCCCCCCATGCGGGGTGCTGTATTCCGATCGGCTCCTATTGACGTGAACGTCTCACCTAAAAGCCTATTTTCAGTTTTCGCTCGCCCCCCTTGAGCCAATGGCATCGGATGGGGGGTTGTGAAGACCCGTTTTCCCCCTCTCTGCCTGCTGCCCTGCCCTGATTCGGAGCCGTTTCACTTTAAAGCCACCCCGCTGCCCGGCGTTCCTTTTTTGGGATCGGGGGGTTTCCGCAAGGGTTTCGGCTAGCTTGCCTCAAAATTTAATTATTAAGATTTTATCGAAAATTCCTGAAGAATCTCTGCTAGCCTGCCCTCTCCTCTTCCTCAACAATCTCTGCTAGCCTGCCCTCTCCTCTTCCTCAACAATCTCTGCTAGCCTGCGCTCTCCTCTTCCTCAACAATCTATGCAACTGCCCCTCTCTCTTCCTCAACAACTCTGCTAGCCCTCTCCTCTTCCTCAACAATCTCTGCTAGCCTGCCCTCTCCTCTTCCTCAACAATCTCTGCTAGCCTGCCTTCTCCTCTTCCTCAACAATCTCTGCTAGCCTGCCTCTCCTCTTCCTCAACAATCTCTGCTAGCCTGCCCTCTCCTCTTCCTCAACAATCTCCTGCTAGCCTGCCCTCTCC